TTAAATTGAAATATGAACACATTTGCTTCAGAAGTTATCGTGCAGAAAATTCTATATGAATAATAGTACTAATTTATAATAAATATTGTTAATTTTTACACTTTTAAATAACTATAAGCAGTGCATTTTGTACAGCCTCTGTGAATTGCAAAATTAATATTTTTATGCCAAATACTTTTCAATAAAATAAATAGTTTTGTTCGAAAATAATTTGAAGTAAATGTCCAGCAAAGGCAATGCGTTAGCAAACAATATTCAACTATATATAACATACCAGCATCATGTGTAAGTTTAATTTATTATTTTTATTTTATTTTTCTGACAATTTATAATTTTATACATTGCCGATTTTAAAGTTAAAAATTAATTAATTTATACTAAATATTATCGTTAGCAGTAACATCTATTACCAATATAAGATGTTAACTGAAATTTAATTTTGTACATGTGAACAATTAATAATAATATTTAATACTTTTAATTCTACTGTTAAAAAAATCGCTGACATAGTTTGAAACTCTCTAAATACTGGTTACGAATTAGTCTCGTTAAGCGGTTTGGCCTCAAACAGAATAATAATTATTCAAAATTTAAGATAGAATATTTGAACGTATTATCGTATAGGTACTCAAAATTATTATTATACAAATTTATTCATTTTCAAAGTATTTAATTTGAATATAAAAGTATCGAAAACGAAAACGCTTTTTGTGGTTGAAACATTCGAAATAAATTATATACATGAGTGCAATTTCACCGAAACCATAACAATAGGCGTATTCTGGGGCCACTATCTTTTATGCAAAACTACTATTTTGTTTGATAAATTCCCGAATGAAAACTTTATATTATAAAAGCAGCCTTCATCGATATTTGAACACATTCTGGCTCGTTTAACATTAGAAATCAAAGTCTCCTTTGAAAGTTATTTTTGATAAACATTGGTGATTAAACTTTGTTATCAACTATGTTTGATTGAACTGTTTCTTTGTTATTAACAGTTACTAAAACAACTGATAAGTTTTTGATAATTATCGACGAAACCGTTTGCTCGTAATTAACAAACACGATTCGATTCAATAGTTTAATTAGATTTTTTTGTTAGTTTTCATTCGAAAATTTGAAAACGCATCAATTGAGAATTTGTGATATATCAAATATCACTGTTTATAGTTTTAATATAGATAGCTTATTAAGGTACATATGTTTCTTTAAGCATTTGAGAATCAGTGCGCGAAAAAGCACTCGGTTTCGATTTGTTTTGATCAACCCGATAATTTTTATCTGTAGGAAAGTTCATGCGATTTCCTTACGTCAATCGATATGCTATTCACACCTAATTTATATTACAAATTTTGCTTTTTGCTTTTTCATGCCATTTTCATCGTTTCCACGTTTTAGCCACTGAGATTTAATATTTCGATGTAGTGATATCAGATTTTCACTCGAGATTAATGATTTTAAATATGACGAAGAGAGAAAATTGCCTATACAAAATTGCTTCTCCAATACATATTATTCACACATCATTATTACAAATGTAACTAATATAATCTCGCCAGAAAGACAATGGCCATCCACTAGGTTGCCCCCTAGAAACACTAGGAATGTAAGGAAATGTACATTGCAACTTTATTGTTGTACAACAGTCGAATTGATTTTAGCATTCAAAAATTTTTGTTTGTGTTTTATCCCGGATTATCCCGGATTTTTAAAAATGTTTTGATTGCCAATATTTTTTTGAATATATTTTAACTAGAAAATTTGAACCGAAAAAGCTCACCAACACCCCAACTCCCGCTCTCACACACATTATATAATCCATTCCGGATTTCGTGCGAAAAATTATGGTCACCTTAATATAGCCCCTCCCGGGCACTGCTTCTTCAAATTAAAAAAAAATCACTGATACAGAATATAACTAGTGGTACATGGCATCGTGCTTTAAGACAAATTGTTGCAATCTCCCGTATCGTAATTTAAACTTTTTAAAAAGCTCAGTAAAGCAATTTTGAAAACGTTTGAAAAATTTGAATATCGAAAAAAAAAATTTGGTATTGGAAGTTTGAGCAATTTGTCTTAAGGCACGATGCCGTGCACCACTTGTTTGCATAACACACATTAAATACTAATAAATTTTTAAAGGTTAAATATGAAAATGAACAGTGTTTAATTAAAAGTGTCGTTTGTACAAATTATGTACATATATGCCCCTAGAGCATAGAAGGGGAACCTTTGCCGCATAAAATGGTAGAGTTTCTTTTAAGGGGGTATTCTACTGTAGAATTTTGAAAAAATCGAAAAATTTTTTTTTTCATATTTTAAAAGTTTAGTTATTCAAAAATATGTCATTGAAAGGATTTTTCAAAATTACTATTATTTCCTGAGTTATATCCGTTTTAGTAACGTGGCTTCGGTTCGGGTCCGACCGAGAATCAAAACTTTGAACGCGTTTTTCTCGGAACTACTTTTTTCGAGCTGGCGGTAAGGATATCTCGAGTTCTAATGAACCGAATTACTTCAAATTTGGAGAGAATCTTCTCTTTACATCGCTTTATCGTATGGACCTTGCCCAAAACTATAACTTTCATTTAGTATTTTTAAAAAATACGGAATTGTTAAAAAAACATGAAAAAAAATAATTTTTTTTTCAAACTGCCGCCATTCAAACAAAAATTTTTTTTTAACTTATCCAAGGTTCATACGATAGCGGCATCTATTATAATTAAGAATCCATCTATTTTTTATGTTTCAAATCAGCAGGAGGGTTGGAATCATGTACGCCAGGACACCCTCTTTTTTTGGGAACCCCCACTTTGACTGCTCATAACTGTGTGAATTTTAATTTATTTTTTTTAATAATTTTTTTATGTAATAATAAAATATCAATAAACAAATGATAAAAAAATCGATAGTAAGAATATTATTTGTTTTCTTTATACAGCGCTTCAAAAACCGGGCAAAATTCATGCTTCTACAGTAGAATACCCCCTTAAACAACTATTGTACACCAACGTCAAAATAGTTTCGCGAAAAATTCTACCAAAGACAGTCATATTGTACCATGACGTCAGATGCTAGGAACACAGACTCTAATACGTATAAAATGTTTTTCTATGGTATTTTTTGTAATATTATTTTATATGTATATTATATTTAAAATTTTGCAGTATTATATTTTGTTTTTTTCTATATAATGCAATAAATATTTAAATCTACAGGAAAAAAACTATAATAATTTCACAAAAGTCACTTGAGGTCAATCAACTTAAGCGGCCTCTCTTATTTAAGTGCGGCCACTTATGGTAAAAAGGTTTCCCACCTCTGCCCTAGTGGATTCGAATATTACCGTGGCAACGAAATTTACAGCGCATAGTATGCAGTTTGGTAGCTCGCTCACAAATATAAAATGTGAAGTATATTTTTCTGAATAATACATGGAAAATTATATTATATGAAGAAATACATTTATACTATAACCATATGTACTGTGAAATGAGTTACCACTACGAAGATACACATGACTAGTTATAATATAACTAGTCATGTGTATCTTCGCAGTGGTAAAACTCATTTTATTTGATGCTAGGTTCCCCATACGAAACACACGCGCTGTTTTTGAGCATCGACCTCGTATATGATAGCAGTGCTTTCCAATGTTATTTTTATTTGAGAAGCATACATTTTGTTAAATCTTATTTTTCTGGCATATTATATGTATATAATATTTGTTCATAAATATTCACTACTTTGACCTTGACTTTTGACCATGGCATACATTTATAAAAACAATTGTAAATGTCACTTTTATGTAGTAAATGGAAAAATAACAGATGAGATATACATATATCTCACAAAAAATGAATACAAAATTTTAACAGATAAGCAACCAAATACCAAGTGAGCATTATGATATTTTCGATTATGCTATAAATCATATTCTGCTGGGCTTTAGTAGTTAAACATTTTTTCATTAATCAATTATTACTTTGAACCATGAATGTATAGTTGTTTTGTATGCACATTCTTTTTCTTGTGTTTGAAAACTTCAAAAGAACTATCCTATTGTTTATGAAGTCAAATATTCCGGATGATCACAACCGTGCTTATAACAGTTCAAATGAGTTATAACATTTTCTTGATAAGAATTTCTATGTATCGGATCATAGAGCATCAATATAAATGAAATTGAATGTATAAAATTTAGAAGCTTCTTGCTTCAGATTTTTATATTATACTTGTCACATTATTACATTTTCTGAAATGTAAATTATAATTTTATTCGATTTCGGTTTTGAAATAATTTGTGGTTCTCTCCCATGTGACATACGTATACTGGCACGTGTATCAGCATGCCGTGCCACATATTTAACACATACACCGATGGCACGCGCGCAACACAGAGATAATGCTGCAGTTCGAGAGTTTTTGAACTGATTTTCTGCCACATATTCTCTTTCTTCATTGATTAAGTTTTCTTTTAGGTATTTCACGAGGAAAATATTATTTAATTTTGCTGGACATTTATAGATGTTTATTTTAATACGCTCTTATAACGCCTTAAAAAAAAGCAACACGATGATTGAGTTATACATTATATACATTACATATCGACTTGTAATTTATTATAAAACTGTAATTAAAGTAACAATACATTTACGCCTTTACTATTATAAGTGTACGCATTTCTTGTAACATCCAATAACTTAGATATTTCTAGTCATAGAGGTCTGGCCTGGCCTCGTGCTATTTGCCAAAAAGCATTTTCGACGCAATCATTTTTTAAGCTGATGTTTCGGTGCAAATTTTGATAACAAAAAATAACGCGATAAAATTAGCAATTTGTTAATCTTTCGTTGGTTATATTTTTTTAGATTGCATAGATTCAATAATATATTTTATATATCAACTTTCGGTCGACGAACGATGTTTTTTTAACGCTGTTACTAGTATTACTTATTTTGTTCTATGCTTTTATTTTTTATTTTTTTTTGTTACAGCCGGGTAACAATACTCATAGACAACCAAAATTTTATGGTCTCTGATCATACTTCTTAGTGTACAAAAGAGTAAGCTTATATTTACAAAATGGAACGTGAAAGTGATGCCGTGAAGGCCCGCTGCAGGTCAGGTTGCGGCTTCTATGGCAATCCAGCTACAGACGGACTGTGTTCTATTTGCTATAAGGTGGGTTTTAAAATATTTCATTATAGCCACGCTGCCAAACTAAAGATGATCAAACTTAGTTCGAAAGAAAATATTCAATATTATGTTTAAAATATTCAATTTTAGCTTAACATCTGTAAACTTTTAGTTTTTCTTTTACTTCCGTCTTTGAGTACTAATTCTTAACACAATTTATTAAATATCATTTTAAACCTCTTTATATGATGCATATCCTAATTTTTTTAATTTAATCTTTTTAACTTGCCTTGACCTGGCTTGCTTTTTATTTTACTATCACGTATTTTTTATTTTACTTTATATTTTATGTTTGCTTCTTTATCATGATTACATATGCCTTATATTAATGTATATACTAAAAAAGTATTATTGTTTAAAGAATACTTTAAAGAAAAAGCAAGAACCTCCAACTGCTTCTACACCAACTACCACTACTACATCCAATAGCAGCGCTATCAGTAACTCAAGTAACGCAGCTTCAAATAATGGACAAGGAGCTGACAATGTTTTACCTTCCATTTCTACTAGAACTGGTCAAACAACTGTACCGTGCCTCGAAAAGGAGGTAATATTTGCTTTTGTTTTGGTTTTATTTACTTATATATATTTTCTTTCTTACATACTGTAAAACAAGTAAAGGATTGAGGAATTGAATTTCATCATATTAATAAATGTTTGATCATGCATTTTGATTAGAAATTCATGGAAATGAGAAGTAAATTACATTACACTTCAAAATTTGATACAAGTATTACCTGGTAGTAATGAATAATTGAAAATTGCATGTTTGTGAGAGCTATTTTTTTTATAATAGAACAATGCTGCTGAGGTGGTATCGGCTGAAGTTTCAAGTGATAACATCTCTGAAAAACCCAATGGCAGTTTTGATAGTAAAGATAGCGATAAAGATTTGAAAAAGAAGAAAAATCGTTGTACTACATGCCGTAAGAAGGTTGGTTTAACAGGTAATTATCACTGCTTAGTATTTATTTATTATGATTACATGTTAATTTTTTTTATTTTGTTAATCTATGAATTGCAGGTTTTGAATGTCGATGTGGTGGATTATTCTGTGCTGTTCATAGATATAGTGACAAGCATGATTGTGGATTTGACTACAGAGAATTAGGTGCCCAAGAAATTCGCAGAAATAATCCTGTTGTGGTGGGCGAAAAAATTAAAAAAATTTAAACTTTTAATATAATTAACTAAGACAATTCATTGGTAATTTTATAAAAATCTCAAGATAATTTTCAATCAATAATAAATAACAGTGAACTACCAGAACAGTAATAGTTCTTCTGTTTCGTAATATTATATGCCAATGATTTCAGGTAATGCAACTAGTGATGCTGAGTGTTTGCAGCATATTAGATATGATTATTATAGCAAATTTAGTGTTATCAAATTAATTATTACGTTGCAATATTGCTTTTGTCTTCTATGGTAAATTACTATTTCTCATGTTTATTCTAACAATAGTCAGGTGATGTAAACTATTACACCTTCCCATATTTTTATTACTAATACATTAGTGTCTTAAGCGCTGTTTGTTTTGTCAAAGTTGTCTTAAATGTAGTAGTATAAACCAATTAAAATATTGCTAGTTACATGCCTAAGAGCATCAAACATTATTGTAAATAGACATATTTTTGTTAATTCCCTTAATATTTATGTTTTAATTCTTGAAGAACTTTTACCTACAGTGTTATATATATATTTTACAAAATAGTATGTTCAAAGCAATGTATATTAAATTATTAAATGCTTAGTTGTACAGACAATTTTAAAATATGACACATGCAGATTACAAATGTAGTATCAATGAAAATTATTCTTAAAAAAAATTAATATTAAATTCAGTACAAATGATGCATAATACAAGAGATCAAGCCACGGCGTGTTTTAAATATGTTAAGCTATCTGAGGCTCTCCTTCTTAGTCTTTTTATGCTACCAGTTGCTTAGCAATAATTTCATAATTATTGACAAAATCTATTACACATGAACACATACTCTATCTTGTTCTCAAGCGCACACACTCGTCAATAATTTAATATGCATGTGTAATTATATATATATATATATATATATATATATATATATAGGGTGGTTATTAATATGGATATTTTCGAATTTCCTTGCTCCCAAGGGCTCAAATGGTTCCAAATTGATAAAAAACAATTCTCTGAAAGTTTGTAGCTCTTAATATTGTCTTTTAGATAGAGCACAATTCGATCAAAGTTTTGTATGGAAATAGAATGAAAAAATTTTCAAAAATTTTGCAGAGCGTCGAATTTTCAATGAAAAATGACACAAATTTTCACTTTTACGTCATTTGTTGCTAAGCTATACCTAAAAAATTTTTTTTGTTTAATTTTAAAATTTTTTCTATGCTATTTCCATACAAAGTTTGATTGAATTGCGCACAATCTAAAAGTTAGTAAAAGTCCTTGCTTGGGAGCAAGGAAATTTGAAAATGTCCATATTAAGAACCACCCTGATATATATATATATATATATATATATATATATATATATGTATACACATACATACATACATACATATATATATACATATATATATATATACACATACATACACACACCACACGCACCACATACTTCTATACACACAATATCCTCATAGGTGTATGCATATGTATCTATATATGTAGATGTGTTCATATATGTGTATATGAATCTGTATGTTTATGTGAATATGCATACGTGAATAAGTATTTTACTTGTGTACACACACACACACATATATATATATATATATATATATATATATATATATATATTGAAATGAATAAAACAGCCAATGCGTCGAATGTAATTCTTTACATTCGACGCATTGGCTGTTTTATTCATTTCAATATGTTTCAACGTCGAACAAAAAATCCTCAATATATATATATATATATATATATATATATATATATATATATATGTATATATATATATATTAATTTTCGTAAACCAATCGAACAACATCCAGAGAACAATATTATTTGTGTTTTCAAATAATAATTTTAAAAAAGACAAAGTTTTTTAGTAATTTTGATTTACAAAATCTAATTATTCGGCGGAAAATTAACTCACAAAATCATTTTTGTTAAAAAAGCTTGTTTAGTGAAAAAGTGCTAACAAATATTCAAACATACAGGTAATTAATTCAACTTTGTCATTAACCTTTTCTTAAAAAATTTCCATAACTTTCAAAAAAAAAATTTTCTATTATGTTTAATATCCTGTTTTGATAATCCACTCATTTATTTTTATCATTTTTATTTTGAACATATTATCATATTTCTGTACATTATTATATTTTTTACAATTCAATTCATTATTTAAGAAAAATCTATTTTCTTTTCCTAAACATATTGTTTGCAAAAATCTCATCAAGATCATGTTTCTTGACAGATGTCCTGAAGATGGAACGTACCTAGTTCCGAAACGTCGACAATAAACAAATAATTAAATAAAGAAATTGTTTTTTTAAAAACTTTTCTTGTTTTTTATTTTGTATTATTTTTTGGATTCTTGTTCGAAACTCTACAAAATATATATATATATATATATATGTGTGTGTGTGTGTGTGTGTGTGTGTTTGTGTGTTTGTTTATTTCTGCAAATTGTAATTAAAGCCTACATTGATCTGTTCACAATGCTTGTATTTTAATTGTTTCCGATTATGTAAATGTTTGTAAATCTTTTGTATGTATGCATTCATTCATATGAATAATGAATGTGTGTGTGTATGTGTGTTGTGTGTTGTGTAATTCTAAAGTCAAAATAATAGGGCATAACATCAATAAATAAACATAAATTTCTTCTAAGAGTTGATTTTACAATCCATACATTTCGACAAAATCTTACCCTTCATTCAGTGGAGAAATAAGGTAATCTTAGTATAAAAACAGAATATTCAATAATCCATAGTATAGAGATATGGTAATGCACAACACTATGTAATATAAACATAGAAGTAATTATTACAATAATTCATAATTTCAATAACATTAAATTATCACATAAGAATAAGTACACAAATATTGTCTTTAACTAGTTTAACACATAAATTGCACACTTTTTGTGAAAATTTAATCTCAGTATAATTGTGAAATATTGTTATAATTACAAGTTTATTGTTTGTAGTACATAGTGCATTGCGTTGCCATACCTTTATACTATAGATTATTGAATTTTTTGTTTCTAACACTAACATTAGCAAATTTCTCCAATGAATAAAGGCTAGGATTTTAATTGAAACGTATGAATTCTAATATTAATTCTTATTTATATATATATATATATATATATATATATATATATCTCTTGGAGGATGTAACATCAAGTAAACAGAATTGAAGCAAAGATTTTTATAATCACTTTATTGTTCCAGATGTTTTGATATAAAATTCTAATTGTAAGTCATCATCAGTGCTTTAAAAATTCTTAGAATAACAGTAACACAAAATAATTGCAATTAACATGTAATTATTAATTGCAATAAAGTGTCAGGGTCACTTTTTTTTTTTTATAAAATACTTTTTTAAAAACAAATTGTAAAGAAATGCCGACTACCATTACCAACAAATTTATCATTACAGAAACTAAATGTCGCTCGGATGGTCGGTAATTTCATCAAGTAAAAACAAATTGTAGAGAAATGCCGACTACCATTACCAACAAATTTATCATTACAGAAACTAAATGTCGCTCGGATGGTCGGTAATACGTTTCTACAATATGTTTTCAAAAAGATATTTTTAAAAAATGTGATTACTGACATTTAGTGCTCCATTGCAATTAATAATTACTTACATGTTAGTTGTCATTATTATGACTTAGTGTTATTTTAAGACATTTTAAACCACTGATGAAAACATTGAATTTTACGTAGAAACATATAGAACGATAAAGAAGGTATAATTTTTTTTTTTACTTAATTTTTTGTTTTTACTTGATGTTACACTCTTCAAGAAATTAATCATATTTTTCAACATCAAATGTAACTACTCTTAACGTCTATATATATATATATATATATATATATATATATATATATATATATATATATATATATATATAGTTAGTTAAGAGTAGTTACATTTGATGTTGAAAAATATGATTAATTTCTTGAAGAGTGTAACATCGAGTAAAAACAAAAAATGAAGTAAAAAAAATTTATACCTTCTTTATATACATATATATATATATATATATATATAATATGCCTGTGTGTGTGTGTGTGTGTGTGTGTGCATCTATAATTTTGTCAAACATTGTTTTTTTTATATTCATATTATTAATTTTGTTTAAGATGGCAACACATATGCTAGCTTCTGATTTAACAGCCTCCTTTATTTTAGAGTATCAAAATCGTGGCTTTTGTGCTGCCAGATATGGATGTTTAAATGTTGAGTTCTTTACATTTATATAGCTGAATAAAAGTGTTTAAATTGATTAGGTTATTGTTTAGTTATATGATTGTATTTAATAATTGAACTTAGTATTTTGATTCCTAAATCATTTTTATTGTATTTTGCAATGAATTTAATTTGTTTTTGAAACATCAAATATATCAAAGAAAATACTTTAATCTTTCTTGGCCAAACAACAAATTGGCATAATATTTAACATTACTGATATTATAGGTATTATGCCATATTTTTAATGAATTTTGGATGTTTATACATTTATTTGGGTATAGATAAATCACTGGAATAATTGTTCAGTTCAGTTTTTTTTTTATTATAAGTTTACTGGGTTACAGTGTGTCTATTTGTACTACCATGTGTTTAATCTTAATGTCTTGTGATTTGAAATGAAGTTTTATACATTACTTCAATTTATGTACGAGTTATACCTCTTGAATAAATTGTTTAGCGTTAAAACTTGTTTAATGAGTAAAATGTATGGAATATATTTATCAAGGCAAAAATATAATGCATCATTGTTATTGTTAGTTTTCATCCATAACTTCAGATATAAATTCTAACTATAATATCTAAAGATATTATAATATAAAATCTAATGTATTTTTTCTCGATATGGTCTAAGCACTTGATACACTTCTATTTTTTGTTTGTAATTATTTGTATTATAATTCATATTTTCTTATGAGTTATTTCAATAAATGTAAAATTAATATGTATATAACTATTAAAATAAGCTAAAGCTCATTACTTATAAGCTAGAATGATAACAAAACATCTATCTATTTAGATTATAACTGGATTACTATACATACAATTATTTAGAACTAGGTGGATTGATTATATTTGTTAAACCCCTGAAGTATATGTAAAAAATATCTATTTTATTGTATCGTATAGTTGATATATTGTACTTTTGAATGTTGTTTTGCTTGCATTTTACGAATATAAATTTTCATAATATATATGAATATGTACATAATAACATTATTTTCAATTTATTTTATTTTTCAGTTTCTATTTTTTATATTTACATAATTTTGATATCAATAGCCACTTGGATGATTTATTGATTTGCAAGACTTGACTACCAAAAATACCATTTTAACATTGAATTATAAATATTTTCTAGTTATACTGTCCACCATAAAGTATATGAAAATTTTAAGTTTAGATACAAATTAATATAAATATAAATAAATATATATATATATATATATATATATATTATTATTGTTATTATTATTATGTACTTATATTACTAATATTACAAACTACAAAGATATTAGTAGTGTAAGTGGGTATTGAGATTTCCAAACTGCTACGTTCAATGTTTTGCTTATCGTTACTGTTCAGTTGTAAGTACAAAGCATAATTAGTACAATTTTAATACAAGAAAGTTATTTTCTGTTATGCATCGCAAGTCTTATGAAACATAGTTCTTTCGTCTATGGTATAATTACAACGATGTCAAAGAGGCCCGAGCATACACTTACTTTTTCGTAAAAGTTATATTAACACTATATTAATCAAAATATCCTTTTGTTCTTATTTTGACTGCAAATATTTTCCTCATACATTATGAAAGTTATAATTGTTCGTTTTATAAATAAATTGTTTATTGTTTTTTATTTAGACTTTTTGGCTGCAATTTCACATCTTGAATATGTTTTCAAATTAAGTCATACTGCGTTGCTATGCTATCTGTTAAAAACAAAATTATGTGTTTCATACAATTTTACTTTTACCTTTTTTGGTCTTTTCTTAAATTATTTTTGCTTTCTTACAGTAGTATCATGTGATTGTGGTGTTGTAAAAAATGTGTTAGTATAGTGTGTTTTTTCCTGATCTGCTGAATGATGAGACACATTTAGTCTCGAAACGTATAAAAAATTAAAATAAATTTTCTACATTCGACGCATTGGCTGTTTTATTCATTTCAATATGTTTCAACGTCGAACAAAAAATCCTCAAGATATATATATATATATAAATATATATATATATATATATTAAATAAATTTCATGTTGAAATGTATGATTAATTTCTTGGAGGGCGTAACATAAAGTAACAGATAATTAAAGTAAAGATTTTTAAAACATCTTTATTTTTCCATACGTTTCGCGTAAAATTCTACGTCATCATCAATGGTTCTTCGATTTTGAAATAAACACAAACTTTCTCTGTTTTTAACTTTTCCTGTTTATTTCAAAATTGTAGAACCACTGATGATGACGTAGAATTTTACGTCGAAACGTATAGAAAAATAAAGACGTTTTAAAAATATTTACTTTAATTATTTTTTACTTTATGTTACGCCCTCCAAAAAATTAATCATATATATACGAATATTTATGTGATTTCTTTTAGTTTTGAAGAAACAGCAAAAGCTTTGAAATCTCACAACCATTGTCATTATTATTATATTGTCTAGGACCATTGTCTAAGCTAGTCTAAGCATACAATTGCAAAGAAGACATGTTCACGCAAGTATACTTATTTGTGAAATATACTAGAAACATTAATAATTTTGTGCTAATGTGTATTTGAAATCAAATGTTGAATGCCGAAAAAAATTGTCGTTTGCGGCAACACTGGAGTGAAGTTAGAAGTACTCGGTTCGTAGTTGTGGCTACAAGTATGATTTGGTATAGTTAAGCATCCGGGACCTCGCCATCGTAGAAGATATGGCGGACATGTATAATGAAAATTGAAAGGATATTTAGTGTAAATATTTAGTGAATGAGTGTTTATAGTATTTTAAACTAACAAGCACGGGAAATTTAGTTGAGCACTCGTTATAATAATAAAACGATGCAGAATATAGGACGTTCTATAACTCAGAATCAAGATAAAGTGTCTGTGCAACAACTAGATACTGCAAAATTGTCGACTCCCCATAGTTCTAATTGTAGTACAGCGGACATTGAAAGTGATCCGTATTGTGGACAAAAGGCTGATTTTGCTGAATTAGATTCTTCTGATAGTGATGAAGAATCAGTGTCCGAGGTATGAACGACTGACATTTGGTTAGTTTAGTTATATTTTATATAGTCGGCAATCAAGTGATGGGACATTTTGTGAGCTCTTGTAATCACTTTTGTAAATCTGTTTCATATCGAAAATATTAGAGATTTTCGACGTGTGGATAGTGTTTGTGCAATTACTCGTTAACTATTGTATGAAAATATTTTTGTTAAGTGTTAGTAATTATTTAGAAAAAGTAGCGGGGCCGTAAAGCGAAATTACTTAAATACGTAGAACAAAGTAGAGCATTGTAAATTATAAGCAATTTTGTAAATGTAGTAAAGTATTTTATTTGATATGATCTTACGGTTTGAAGTAAATTTAGTGCCAACAATAGTTTTTGACATAAAGATTTGATAATAATAAAGTTTTTGTTTAATATTGTAGATATTGCTGGCTTGTTTGTGCCTTAGGTCGAGTCTTTTGGTAAGTGACCCAGTAAGCTTACCTTTTCATATTACTCTAATATATTTTTCTTACTTACAAGCGAATTAAAGACTATTCACCTGCAAATTGATTAATATATTAGCTTTATGAATGTTGGCTACTTTGTCTGTGAACTGCATAACTCAAGTGCATCAAATGATTATAAATTTTGTTTTTGTATTTTTATATTGTTAACATTGAGTATACTGGGTCGCTATTTCCATATATTTACTAATGTTATCAGCTGTCAATTGTTTTTGTTTTTGTTTTGAATAAGATAAGTGGTATTTAGTAAAACAAATGAGTCATTAGTTTTTTTGTTCTCAATAGTGTTTTAGAAGGATTTTTGTTATCCTTTCATTGCATTTTAAATATAAAGATATTTTTTCTGTGAATAGAGTGGTGACATTGTGAAAGATTTATTTACATATTTGTGCAAGTATATCACCTGTGTTCTCTTTTAAACTTCATTCCACTGAATTCCTGACTCCAGCTCATCCAAAGATGTTGCCTGTATGTAACCTATTATAAAGTAGTATTATGTTTTAGTTTTTATGTCCATCTTGCACAAATTGTCACACACATAAATTTGTAAAAAAAATTATTTGTATTTAAGAAACTATTGCTAACTTATCTAAGTTATACATGAATCTTTTGCTTTTTTTATAATACTTGCAATTTAAACCTTTTAATACAAGTATGTGGAACTGAGCATGTTGTTCTATATGTGATTTTCTTATAGTATAATAAATTCAATAAATTTTGTAAATTGTATTGTGACAGGATTTGGAGGACGCAGAAGTTGGAGATGGTGCATTTCTTCTTGAATCCGATGAGAATGGAAGAACAGTTGATCCTGAAACTCAGGCACGTTTGGAAGCACTGCTGGAGGCTGCAGGTGAGATTCAAATTGGATGAATTTCAAAATTAAGTGCTTATTATATTATGTGATAAGTAGAAACTGGTACTAACTCATTAGTACAAAATATATTTAAAATGTTATAGTGTTAAACAATACACAAGTCTACCTTTAATTTAATTGCAAAATCTGATGTATTTCAGGTATTGGCAAATTGTCATCAGGGGATGGCAAGCATTTGGCAGATCCAGATGTTTTGCGTCGATTGACATCATCTGTTTCTTGTGCCTTGGATGAAGCAGCTGCTGCCCTAACACGAATGAGATCTGATAATCCACGACATTCCGAAAAGAGGTGAATATAATTATATTACATTAATTGTAAGATTATATGAATGTAGTTATAAAGATTAAATGGTAATTGTATTATTTTACTTACTTTTTTATATAATTATTTAGATCTCTTGTTTTTTAAAAAAAAAAATTTAACTGTCATTAATTTTTATACATTGTGTGCACACCGATTTAGTTAAGTTTTCCTAATCATAGATTTAAAATTAATAAACAATTTCGAATCTCGATGTTGTTCCATTTTACAAAAAGTGGTAAATAGAATCTTAATTTAAACAGTTGACTTTTTATCATTATGAATGTAATTAAGCATTAACTGGGATATAAATATTATTAATAGTAATAATACTATATCACAAATAATTTGTTGAAGCTCTAAATTTTTTTTTGTATGATATGAATTAATATTTTTCAGTAACCTTGCTAGAACTTTAGTGGAAGCATGTTCTGATGGAGATGTTGGTACAGTTAGAAGGCTTTTAACAGAAGGTCGCTCAGTTCATGAAACAACAGAAGATGGTGAATCCTTACTATCTTTAGCTTGCTCTGCGGGTTACTATGAATTAGCTCAGGTTAGTTTCTTGATTATGTGTAGGCATCTATTGGTAAAAAGAAGATAAAGGACTTGCAAAGATTTTTTTTCATAATTCAGCTGAAATGTGCATTTGTAATAAATAAGTAGTTAAAAGTACTGAGATAAACTTTTTTGCTTTCTTCAGGTACTCATTGCTATGAATGCTAATGTGGAAGATAGGGGAATAAAAGGTGATTGCACTCCAATAATGGAAGCTGCTTCTGCAGGGCATGCTCAGATGGTTACACTCCTTATTGAAAATGGTGCAGATGTTAATGCGCAATCTTCATCAGGTTAGCAAAGTGATATAAGATGATAAGATAACAAAGTTAAGACAAAGTGATATAAGATGATAAAATTTGTCTATATAAGCTTTTATAATATTTTTTTTCTGCAATAGTAATACCATTTAAAATTGTGAATTTTTGATTTTATGCTGGATCATAAAATTGAACTTAGACCAGCAAATCATATTACCGATCTGTACCATTTATATTGTTGCAACTCGTTTTGTCATTCATTTATTATTTGGCATAAGTTTGATACTGTGTTTTAACAGAAATGATTGTAATGAGAATGATTGTTTATTTCTAAATAGTTATTAGAAGTTTGATATTTTTCTAAGCATTACATTCATTGTATATTACAATAATAACAATGGATGAAGTATATAAAACATTAAACATTACTTAAGCATCTGAGAAAAACAGTTACAAATATATTGAGTACATGCATAAGTTATTATATAATATATGCATTACATGTGTTACAGTGTGTAAAATATCTTATGAGGACAACCTCAGGTTTAATCTTCAGGAATTTTGATAAAACTTTGTCTGGTGATAGAGTTTAAAGTCAAACCGAACATCTTAAAATATTACAGGCCTGTGAGAAGTGGTTTAATTTAAAAAAAAAAATGAATTACAGTTGTGAAAAATAGATCGTGCACAATATGTATGAGTATAGTGTTCCCTACAGTATGTTTTGATAGCTCCGTTAGTTTTACTTTCACTTCATACTTTTTGTCTTTGGATTCACAAATAAGAGTTAAAAATGATTGACTATGAATCTCCTCAGCTTATAATACAATTATTTTTTTAAACTTATTTTTATGTTTGAATAATTACTTTTTGCAAAAATATTTACAATTATTTACAACTCATTTCATATAGTTTGCGAACAAAGATTATATGTTTGATTCAAATCTTTGAGTACATATATTATACATATGTGTTTACATTAAATATTAACAATTTCACATATTTTAATTTCTGTTATGTTTTTACTGCACATTCAAAAATATTACGTATTATATTTTTTTTTATTAAATATTACATATATTATAATATTTATGCTCTATTGTCATCAACATTCAACTCAATCACTTGCATTTCTTATAGGTAATACACCTTTAATGTATGGATGTGCTGGTGGTCATGATGAAGTTGTAAAGATTTTACTAGCAAATGGGGCTAATGTAGAAGATCACAATGAAAATGGTCATACTCCCCTCATGGAAGCTGCTTCTGCTGGTCATGTGGGAGTTGCCAAGGTACCTTATGCATACATTTACGCTATTACTGTCTCATTACTTTTCAAAATTTATCTTATGTTCAAAATTAAGTTGAAATTTAATACTTATGTATTAATAAGAAGAAAAAACTGAACTTGCAGCTCGCACCGAAGTGGTTAATAATAATAAATGAACTAATTTCTACTATGGAGTAAATTTATTACTCTATTTGCTTAAGTGTATCAATTCTAATTTAATTAAATGTAACAATTTTGCTAAGCATAATATATATTATATAATTATATAATAATATAATATTTTCACAAAGAGATTTTCACTACCAAACATTATTGTACCCACAATCTATAGATTCTACTAGAAAATGGTGCTGGCATCAATACACACTCCAATGAATTCAAAGAGAGTGCTTTGACCCTAGCCTGCTACAAAGGTCATTTAGATATGGTTAGGTTCTTGTTATTGGCTGGTGCTGATCAAGAGCACAAGACTGATGAAATGCATACGGCTTTAATGGAGGCTTCAATGGATGGTCATGTTGAAGTAGCTCGTCTTCTTTTAGATTCTGGTGCACAGGTAAAATATTTTAACATTTAATTAAGTGCATGTCGTTGTTAAAACTTTTTTTCACTGTTTTAAGTCTTCTATTTTATGCACAATATTTCTTATAATTTAATCATAGATAATCATGTATAAATAGATAGCAAACAAAACCGCTTTTTGATTATTTTAACTTTAATTTTCCGCTCCTGCTATAGAGGCTCGACGAGTGTAGTATGTAAATTTACCCTTCGGCTCAGTTCTAGTTAAATCCCTAGGTTTAATTCTAAGATAAATTTATATATAACATTGTTACAATGAATCTGAAATTTTAACGAGAACAAAACATACTCATAAAAAATATATTTTCATATACATTAAAAAATACATGTTTTTTTTTCTGTCTGTCGAGTTTTATTGACCCTGAGACTTCTCTTGTACTTTTCGAAAACTATTGTTTCGTGTGATCTTGTTCATTTTCATTTATAAATTTTCCTGAAAGATATCATTTTACAGTATTGCATCAGTTATTAACAATAAACAATGTAAATGAATCAGAAAATTGAACATCTCCGACCATCATACTTCCAAAAAAAAACTGCAATGGATCTTGATTAAAATTTCTCGTACATAAATAATGAAATTCTGGAAATGCTTTCTTTTTTTATCAAATGTGCCTCAAACCCTGTATAGCTTTTCACCCAGTTCTTAACGCATGTGGCTTTTGTTAGTACCCTGCTATATTTTTTTATTTTTATGAACTGTATTTCAACACTGTGGTACTATATTCAACACTGTGGTACGTGACACTTTGCCATATTGAAAATTATTATTAATTCTTTTGTTTGAAGTATTTGTTCGTAATCGGTCGTTTTATAGTAGTACCGTACAATAGGCCTACGGACGCATAGGCCGACGAACGACGTTAGTTTTGAATTTGGGAACAGTAAAACACTCTATCGCGCGAGCCCTCTATCCTCTATCTAATACGATAAAAAATTGATTTGTTTTATATTTCTATGCAAGTTACTTATAGTAATATATGCACTAATTTAATGTAATCTTTGTTTTACAACTTGTAATAGCATTTCTGTGAATTCTTCAACCTCTATAAAATAAAACATCTATTTAGTTCAAATCTTAAATTTTGGCACACAAATGTGTTGCTATAGCAACGATTTGCAATAACACAGTTAATAAGCATAGTTTCTGAAACAAAATATAAACATGTATATATTTTCTGATGACTATTATTAATTAATTAATGTTAAATATAAAATAATTATGATTTCAGGTTAATATGCCTACAGATAGTTTTGAATCTCCTTTGACATTGGCAGCTTGTGGTGGACATGTAGATCTAGCAATGCTTCTTATTGAACGAGGAGCAAATATTGAAGAAGTAAACGATGAAGGATACACTCCATTGATGGAGGCTGCAAGAGAGGGTCATGAAGAAATGGTTGGACTTCTGTTATCTCAAGGCAATTGACATTTAATTTAGTTACTTATGCATGCCAGCCTTCAATTTAAGACATTATTCTTGAATCTGAAATAACATTGTAAAGCATTATATGGAAAGTTGGGTTATTTATCAAATATTAATTGGGATTTTTTTTAAATCCCAATTGATATTGAATATATATTTGTTTGTGTGTATTTATGTACTAACTCATATATAAGTTTTAATAGTTTTTTTTTTTAATATTTTGTCACTTTCAATATAATAGGCGCTAACATAAATGCTCAAACTGAAGAGACCCAAGAAACTGCTTTAACCTTGGCTTGTTGTGGAGGATTTTTAGAAGTAGCTGATTATTTAATTAAAGCTGGAGCCAATATTGAGTTAGGTGCATCCACGCCCTTGATGGAAGCAGCTCAAGAGGGACATCTTGATTTAGTTCGATACTTACTGGAGGTTAATGCAGATGTTCATACACAAACTCAAACTGGTGATACAGCTTTGACTTATGCTTGTGAAAATGGTCATACTGATGTTGCTGAGCTATTATTGCAGTATGGTGCTGATCTTGTAAGATTTTTTTGTTCAATAATCTCTTTGTATTTGAGATATGCATTTTCACAAAATTACTATTAAAACTTAAAAAAAATTTTTTTTTTTATTCAGGTGAAAAAATAGTGCATATTTGTGATTTGTAATTGTAATTTGATTTTCTTTCTGATTTAACATAATACTTGGAACAATATATAATAACTGGATTTATTACCTCATTATATGTGAAAGCAAAAGTAATGATTTTTTTTTTGTAACCTTTTTTTGTCATTCTAAATTATTCATTAATATATGTAAAAATACTGAGTTAAACATTTCATATTTTCAAAATATTCTTTCAACAGATTTGATTTATAGTTATATAAAATTATTCTTGTTACTTTGCATATATGTTGTACTATACACATTACTATATACATTTGTTATTGTATTTATGCATTTGTTAATTTTCTTATCCTAATTTTATGAAAAAAATTACAGGAGCATGAATCTGAGGGTGGCCGAACACCACTGATGAAAGCTTGCAGGGCTGGTCACATTTGTACTGTTAAATTTTTAATAAGTAAACATGCAGATGTTAATAGACAAACAACTAATAATGATCATACTCCATTATCGTTGGCCTGTGCTGGTGGCCACCAGCAGGTTGTGGAGACATTGCTGAAATTATGTGCTGATCCCTTTCATAAATTAAAAGATAATTCTACCATGCTAATTGAAGCAGCAAAGGGAGGCCATACTACAGTAGTGCAATTATTGTTGGACTATCCTCATTCAATTATGATGAATCACCCGCATCAAAACCAAATACCTAATATGTCAGGTAGGTTTGTATGAGGAAGGCATATATGCATCTTCTGCTATTCTTTAAATCACTTCACTACAATTTTGGCAGAGATTTTTTACAAGCTATGAAAATTTATTAATTGTTTATAAAGTTGTTTCTTCTATTCTATTTTCTAGGCTTACATGAAGTACCTGATGCTGTTCGTATTCAAGAAGACTTATCTTCAAGAATGTTGCAAATGTCTCCAAATCAGAATTCTATTTCTCAGCGTCCACATTTGGATTCAATAGCTCAAGTTAATTTATCTCAGCCTAATTCACAGAAAAATTCTATAATAAATGCACAACCTGCATTGGTCAACACTTTGCCGCTTGACATGAGTAGACTCAGTGATCAAGGGAATAACCCACCAATGACTCTATTAGGTACTGCAGCCAGTAGTAGTTCGTGTTTGCCTCAAGTAAATGCTCCCCAAGCATCTCTTCTGGCTCATATCAAGCGATCACAACAAGCTGGGATGAACCAATCTAATTTTACTCAAGGATTAGTGTCACAAGGTAATATCTCATAATACCTATATATATACATATACCTATATATATACATAATATATATATATATATATATATATATATATATATATATATATATATCACTTGTTTGGAGTTGTATATATGAATGTAAATTCATTAAAATTTGCTTGTTCGCTTTTTAGAAGCCAATAAATATAAAGTTCTTTGTTTCATAATGAGTATAAAAGTGTTTAAAAGTTGGATGGACTTACTTGCTAATATATTTTTTAGGTTTAAATGAAGGATTGATGCTTCCTAGTGCCTCTTTTTCGAATGGTGCAACAAATGTGGTAACATCCAATTCATTGCCTACTAGCCTGCCACAGCTGAGTTCAAGCGTTATTGATTCTGCTAAAACTACTACCTTGACTACTTCTACTGTTCCTGCATTGGCTTCATTTTGTCAAACACCAGTTCAATCAAATCTTTCTGTCAGTGGTATATCAAACTTAGTATCTATGAATCCTGGTTTGCAACAACCTTTGCAGTCTAAGCAAAAAAGCCTTCTTCGAAAAAATAGGATATCCAGTGGAAATATATTTGAATCAACTAATAATGATGCCCAGGTATATTATTTATATTTCATATTATTTAAGTAATCAAACCATTTCTTATTCAAAATATAGTTTGGAAAACACAATTTAAGAAAAAAAAATTTCAGATAAATTCTGAACAATCTCGTATAAAGGCATTAGGTGATTCAGTGGATAAAGATGAAAGTAGTATTTTGGATAAAGGTAGTACTTTTGATCCTGAAGCTGAAAATAGGAAGCAACAATCATCGAAGGAGGAGCAAATATATCAAAAACAGCAAATCTTAGATGAGCTGCATGTAAGAGTATTGTATTATCATGCAATTAAAACATTTTTTTTATTGAATATTTTATCTTTAGAGGGTGGAAAGAGAATTACAAGTTAAAGCATCTATTCAATTTCTTAGTGATAACACTGGGCCTCCACCTTCATTACTACCATCAATGCCTTATATTGATATAACAAACAACTCAAATCAAAATACAGGTTAGTTTGTCCTATGCACATCTCTGTTTGTAATGTTTGTAGAATTTTTTTATTATTAATTTTTACCTCTGCTGGTTATTACTGAATATTAAATAATTGTATTTTGAACCAGAATGTATTATATTCATATTTCATATACACATATATAAACCTTATTATATATTATTATTATATCTAAACACATATATATATATATATATATATATGTATATATATATATATATATATATATATATATATGGACCCATTTTTAAATAGTCTTATTTTAAAATGTATGTAAACAATTGTTACCCTCTCTAAATTTGTCATGCTTAGCATATTTTTGAACATTTGAAAGAATTTTACTCATAGTACATGACCACAAATATAATAAAATTATAATAATCAATCCCCTTGTAAGTTGAATTAATATAATAGAAAAATTAATATCTAATTTCAAACTGCTTTCACAATGTCTGCTTCAGTCTTTTTTTTTCTTATATCAGGAATAGTATGTGGAACTGGATTGACTTTCCAGCCACCATCTCAAACTGTCATGCACAGCTCTACATTTTTCTCAGGCAAGTTCTTAGCCAAGAAAAATGTATTTCAGTTAGTTTCAAAAAGTGATTGTCATTGAAAACAAATCTCTATATTACAACTATTGTAGTATAGTTTTTTTTTTAAATCTTCCTACTTTATTCACATAATAGCTTTGTTTTTAATTCTCTGCCTCAAAACATTATGTGAGAGATAGGATGATACTTAGGCGCCTAAAGAGAGAAGTTTGTGTCAAATGTGACTCTAAATTTTTATCATAAGTGGCATACGCTATCTTTTTTTTCATTCAATTCTAAGATATTTATTAAATGATATTAGTATGAGATTTAATTAAATTTATTTTAACAGTTTTAATGATATTTGTAAATTAGAAATGTTGTTTCCAATGTTTTATTTAATGAATTGACAACATTTAACAATTTACCTTTTTTATGTTACTGCACTTGTTTATAACAAATTGCTTTTTGTTTGACAGTTTAAACAGTTTGTTATTTAAAAAGAATTAACTTTTAAAATCAAGAATTACATTTTAAAACATTTTTAGTAGGTAAACCCTTAAGCACCACTGATTCTTTTGGTACCACACCTCTGATGCATAATGTAAAGTACACTCAACCACCACGTCCACTTCACAGTTCTACAGTAGCTGAAATTAGTCAAGTAAGTTTATATGAAATTAGTAACATCATTTATATAATATTACACTAGTTACATATATATGTTCATACATTGTTATTGTATAACACATGTAATTTTTCTTCCATCTGCATCTCTTGTTTTCATTTTTACTTCTCAAACTTCTGCTTCCAGGCTTTCATGTCCTATGCTTTCAATTCCTTTAATTTTCTCTTCCTGCACAAGTTATTCATCATTCAGATTCTTCTTTGTACATGCTCATTCTGTCTTTCCAATTTTCATTTCCGATGCCCTACATGGAGAGGTTTTTCTTTTTAAAAAAAAAATGTAGTCAAGTGTGTTGTCCATTCCATTTTACATTCCTGATCAAAGGCGCCAGCTTTTGATAAAACTTGCCAACATACTTTATTACATTTTTTTTTTAAGGAAAACCTCATAATCTCAATTGTGCTGTTATTTTTGACTATGGTCCTAGAAATATTTAAATTGAGTATAATTTAATGTTATTACAGAAAATAATAAAAACCACAATGACCAAAAAATTGTCGCAATTTCACTGAGTCTCTAAATTGCACTTTAAGACTCATAATTTTTAAACTACATGAAATAATTTTTTAATTTTTCTCATGAGAGTTATGATTAATACCATTCTGGGACAACCATGTATATATCATGGAGGAAAAATTCATCTATGTTACATTAGATTCTCTTCAAATGATAAAACATACTGACAATCATAAATGGATTTGTTAATAAACTTGATCTCTTTTGCATGCCAGATCTCAAAATATTATTCACATGATTGTTGTACCAGTTATACTCAGCAGCAGCCCTTGCTTGTTAATTATTAATCATATTTATTACTAATTTTTACACAAATCCATTCAGCACTAATTTAATCAAAATTTTTGTAAAATCTATTAGTAATATATTTACCTCAACACATTAAATACAATTGACATATAAACATAGCTAACATATTTTCAGAACACAGCCATCAGTGACAGGCCTAAGGCAAAGCCTGTTTCTAAAAAAGAAGGCAAAAATCAACGAAAATCAGCAATGCAAGTACAGACATCTTCATCTGCTACTGCTAATTCTAATTCAAACCAACAAGTTCTACAAATGAATCAACTTATTCATCACGCAGAACAACATATGACCAATTTTGAAATGGTAATGATTTCTAATCAAATTTTTATTATTGGTTTGTATGTAATCTGTTACTGTCAAATTTACGTGAATCCTTTACACTACAGGCCATTGACATTTATGACGTGCCAGCAACTCTGGTGGTATTTTAGCTCTTAGACATACATTGTTTTTTTTTTGTTAAATTTTATTTTTATGGCTAATATTTTTTTAGATTTGTTGACTTGTCAATGGGTCTAAAGTGTTAAAAAAACGTGTTGGCCTTGGTCCAACAACATAGCCGCGGTTTTTATTTTATAATTTGAACTGCATATGGCAACTAAGTGGAAATTGAAGCAATAAATGATTTATTGCTTAAATTATTCATGTTTCTAAATGACAAGAATTTTGAATCTTTATCATTTTTGAATTTTATTAGGAAATGGCAAAATATATTCCTATATGACATTCAGTTTCTGAAAAGTACTTGATATTATAATGTGTAATAATATTCTTATTTTATCTGTATCATTAATAATATATATAATTTGTTCTATTTAAGACACCTCAGAAGCTAGAAAGATTTATGAGTGAAGGGTCATTCAATCATGGATGTAGAGGAAGCTCGCCTCAGAATATTTTTCAAAATTCTAATGCTGCTAGATCAACACAGCTAGAAAGTACAGGTCAACCAAATGAATTAAATTCAAGAAATTTGCCTAACACCATGAATTCCAATCAGAATTATTGCCCTCCAACTGAAGAAATATTGCAACAAGCAATTAATAATATATTGACTAATCCCAAAAATACAATCAAGGATAGTTCTACTAATGTCACTCAACATGATTGTGAGTTTAATAAATTTATTTAATACATATATTTTTCAAGTAGAAGGAAAAAAACTTAACTAAATGTTTACTAAATACATGAGTTTATTTTATTATGCATAAAAACTATTTTTAGCTATGAGATTTGAATTTTGCTTGCAGCATTCCATCGAATAACAATGACTCCTGAAGAACTCATGGTTCATTTAACACGTTTGGAGCCTTCCTTATCAAATATACCTCCTCAAGAATTGTATCACCATGTTCAGCATGTATTGAAAGATAAGAGACAGAGCAACTTTCAACTTAGTCATCCCCCGCATCAAACTGTTACGACTCTACAGAATAATATTGAGCACCTTGTAACCCAGCATGCACCCGTAGAACAATCTCAGCAAATGCAATCTAGCACTCTTCAGCAGTCCATAAATCCAAGTCTTTCAACTAATGAAGTTCAGAATCAAGAATTAGCTAATAAACAAAATGCTGCAATGGCATTAGTACAAAACCAAAATTATCACTTACAACAAGCTATTTTGCAACAACAGCATAGCTTGCAGAAAAAAAAGGTAAATATGTATAGATAGAAATAAGTGCAAACATTTATATATATAGAAAAATATCTGAATATCAATGTTACTTTCAGTTTTCTGAAAGTGATCTAGTTAACTTATTTTTGGATACTCAGGAACTCACAGACAACAAAGGTTACGTTTTGGGAGATTTGTCTTTGGAGGAGTTTGTTCGTGCTATGGAAACCTTCAATGTCGATGTTGTGACAGATTGTATGATATCTTTTATATTTTTTATTCTTATTTATTATATATATATATATATATATATATATATATATATGCATTTAATGTAAAATACATTGTTTTTATAGCTGCATTGAATTTGGAATTACCTTCAAATGATCCAAATTTGTTGGAGGAAGCAGCCCTAGCTGCCAAATTTGTATCAACTATGGTTAGTATTGTTTTGTTATATTTATAAGTAAAAAAATCAACAAATAATAAAATCTCATATTCTCATATAAAAAATATGGTTTTATTTTATCACAGGCATTTCTTTCACCTTCAACTATTTCACCTGAGGTCTTTGAAGATAAATCATTGGATGAAGAAAAAGCACGACAGTATCAAGCTGGATATCACACTGCTATATTGATGGCAAAGAAGCACTGGCCAGGTAGTAATAAATAGTATTTTCTTGTTTTTGGTTGTTGGTAATTTTAGTTACATATTATTTATATCTTATGCAGATAATTATAGTGTTCATCCAAAAATTATTTCTGAACAAACTCCTTCTGATACCCCTAATTCAGTGCAAGTTTCAAGCAATGAGCCAGATGTTAAGGTAATTTATTTTTAGTGAATTACTACATTCATTGACTTTATTGTACAATATGCTATTCAAATTTTACAGACTAATAATAAAAGTGGTTTATGTGAACCAATAGAGAATATAAATGTAGCAGAACAGATATTGCTTACTCAACAACCAACTACGGTTGTTACAAATTTGCCACCACCAGATGTTTCTAGTTCTCATTCACCACTGCTTTCGCCCCCTTGTACGCAACATAATAATCAAGTTCAAGTTGCAACACAGACTCAGGTTCAGACCAGTGTTGGTATGCATAATTCTTTTAATTCCACATATAATTGTCACATTATGTAATATTAACATACAATACTTTTTTTTTTTTTGAAGCAGAATCAAAGTCATCTGCTTCAAAAAGTAAGGGTTCCAGTGAAAATAATACTAAAAGTAAAAAAAGTAGATATGTTCAGCCGCGTGTGACACAAGAACAGCAATATGCATCAGATAATGGTAATGAATAAAGTTTTCATTATTTTTTGGCAACCTATTATTCTGTCATACACATATTTACCATTTTTGTAGTTGGACTTCAAAGCATATACTACAGTCATATTTTATAATAAAACATTAATTAAACTTTAGTTAATTAAACCAAATACATATGAATATGGCTTATTAACAAAAAAAATAAATAGTTTTTTGCAACAAAAGACCTAGTATAAATAAATATCGAAACAAACGTATCCAAACTCAGTTTAAGGTTTGCTGAAATTTTGCTTAAAATGAAGACATTACCAAAATTTCTTAAAACGAGTATAAAATAAACGAACAAATGTGGAAATTTATAAACATTTTGATATTTATATTAATAGTTTATCATAGTTTCAATCATCAATCGGTAGTGAGTACAAGTAGAACTGCAATATAATTCATTTATTTTTAGGAGCTCAATATGGGAATCAACCATACCAACAAACGCCATTCAGCTGTATGGATGTTGATTCAGAAACTGATAGTAATCATGATACGGCATTAACCTTAGCATGTGCTGGTGGTCATGATGATCTTGTTGAATTACTGCTTTCAAGAGGAGCAGATATTGAACACAGGGACAAAAAAGGTTTCACACCTCTCATACTTGCTGCAACTGCGGGACATGATAAGGTAATTGATCTAAATATGATATATAACTTCAATTAGAAATTGAAATTGTGTAATTCTTTGAAAAAATATGTTTTAATATATAAAATACAGACTATATGAATTGTTTCTTCTCTCTTAGGTTGTTGACATATTGTTAACACATAATGCAGATATAGAAGCACAATCTGAACGAACAAAAGATACACCCCTGTCTTTAGCTTGTTCTGGTGGGCGATATGAAGTGGTTGAACTTCTTTTAAACCGGGGGGCAAATAAAGAGCACAGAAATGTTTCTGATTATACTCCTTTAAGCTTAGCTGCTTCTGGAGGCTATGTCAATATAATAAAACTTTTGCTGTCTCATGCTGCAGAAATTAATTCAAGAACTGGCAGTAAATTAGGAATATCACCTCTTATGCTTGCAGCTATGAATGGACATACGGGTTAGTTTCTTTTTTTATGGATAAATTTATTGCTCTTTATATATATATATATATATATATATATATATATATATATATATTTATTAGCTTTTTGCAGATATTCTGATGTTCTAAATTGTTTTATCGGACTATTTATTCGTATTTTTTGATTTACAAAAATTTTTTTACGATAATTTAAGTTCCAGCAATGAGCTGTAAGGCATTTTGAGCACCACTTCAAATTTATAAAAAAAATTAAGTGAATGGTTCAAATATGCACAGTAGCGAAATAATTTTAAGAATTGAAGAGCCGAACTTAACACACTTTGTGCGGTCCGGGTGCTTACGCTTTGCATGACGTTTCTAGACCCCGCTACGGAGGTCTGTTAGGGCGATATGCCACACGCCGAAAGTGTGTTAAGGCATGACTTTTTTTATAATATAAGACAATTTAATTTTTTGGTATCTATTATTTATTATGTTTTATATCTCCAAATATACATATTATATACATATGTACTATACCTACCGGTGGCGGTCAAATAACCGCTTTTCAAATTTTTATTGCTAGTTGATTAATAAAAAATGACTGTTATTGTATATTTATAAAAAGAATATACGATTTTTGGAAACTATATCATTTCATCATAATAGTTACATACATTGCAATAAACAATATGAAAAAAAAAATTTCAATGTTTTAATTTTTTTTTTATAGCTGCTGTGAAACTTCTTTTGGATATGGGTTCGGACATAAATGCGCAGATTGAAACAAATCGTAATACAGCCTTGACATTAGCTTGTTTCCAAGGTAGACATGAAGTTGTTAGCTTATTATTGGATAGAAAAGCAAATGTGGAACATAGAGCAAAGGTATCTTTTAATGATATTTGTCTTTCTCAATATTGAAAAAAACAATTACATTCATTTATTTACTTTTATATTAATTTGTTTAGACTGGTTTAACTCCTTTAATGGAGGCTGCCAGTGGAGGCTATGTAGACGTAGGGAGGGTCTTGCTAGATAAAGGAGCTGATGTAAATGCTACACCGGTTCCCTCTTCAAGAGATACTGCTTTAACAATAGCTGCAGATAAGGGTCATTGTCGTTTTGTGGAGCTTCTGCTTTCTAGGTACTTTTTTTTTTGTTACAAAAATTTTGAATTCAAAATAGCCATTGAATGCATACTTGTGTATGAATTGAATACACCAATGAATATATTGATGCAACTGATGACTTTTAGTAGATCCTATGCAATGTTATGAATATGAAAAGAAAAAAAAAAGGTTCACAATAATTTTTTTAGGAATGCTGCTGTTGAAGTTAAGAATAAGAAAGGAAATTCTCCTTTATGGCTTGCTGCAAATGGTGGGCATTTATATGTGGTGGAAATATTATATAGTGCTGGTGCTGATATAGATTCACAGGATAATCGTAAGGTATTTTGATAATCTGAAAGTTTTTTTTTTCATTGTTCTTTTTAGAGCAGTTGAATTTTGTACTTGTAATGAATTTTTTAGGTGTCATGTTTGATGGCTGCATTTAGGAAAGGTCATACCCAAGTTGTGAAGTGGATGGTGAATCATGTTACACAATTTCCTTCAGATCAAGAAATGACACGCTACATTTGTACTATCAGTGATAAGGTATTAGGATATTGATTTTAATTACTATTTTATTTAAGGTTTAACTTATTTGAATAAATAATTTTTAAGCAAAATTTAACATTTTCTTTATATACCAAGAATATGAATGTTACTTATTTTATCTTCAGGAACTTCTTGAAAAGTGTCATGAATGTGTGAAAACAATCAGAGCTGCAAAGGATACTCAAGCAGCAAAGGCTAATAAAAATGCAACTATTTTGTTAGAAGAACTTGACATGGAAAAAAATAGAGAGGAAAGTAAGAAAGCAGCTGCGGCACGTAGAAGAGAGCGTAAGAAGAAGAAGAAGCTGGAAAAAAAAGAAGAAAAGCGCAAGCTGCATGAAGAGAATCAAAGAAATGAAGATAAAGATGACGATGATAAAGATTTAAGTGAGAAAGGTGTGTAACATATTTACAAATATTATCTATTTGGTTCTCTGAAAGTTTTAGCTCTTAATATTAACATTTAGATAGAGCGCAATTGAATCAAACTTCGTATGGAAAGAGCATGGAAAAAATTTTGAAAATTTAAAAAAAATGTTTTAGATATAACTTAGCGACAAATGAATGAGTTTTATTCATTCATTTGTTCGCTAAATTACATCTAAAAAACATTTTAAAAATTTTTCCATGCTATTTCCATACAAAACTTTGATTGAATTGCGCTTTATCTAAGCGTTAATATTAAGAGCCAAAACTTTCAGAAAATTGTTTTTTATCTATTTGGAACCATTTGAGCCCCTGGGAGCAAGGAAATTCGAAAATGACCATTTTAAGGACCACCTTAATATATATATATGTATATACGAGGTGTGTTCAAAAAGTACCCGGAATTACTAATAATTAAATTTCGCGGGTCTGGAGTGTCTGATTCTCAAAATTTTTTTTTTATTGTGTTGGTATACATGCCCCTAAAGTATGATGAAATTTTCAGCTATATTCACTGTTTACTTTGTCTGTGGTAGTCGCTAAGGTTCGACGTGTTTTCCTGAGCTCGGCGATTTTTACAATGGAAGAATTGAAAAGTCAAAGAATTTGTATTAAATTTTGCGTAAAAAATGAAATAAAGTGTTGCAAAGTGCAAAAATTCACCAGATATGGCTTCGTGTGACTTTTTCCTATTCCCAAAGTTGAAGAGACCCATGAAAGGACGGCGGTTTTCCTCGATTGAAGAAAATCGCTGAGAGTGCTCAAGGACATATCAAAAAGTGAATATCAAGGGTGCTTCGAAAATTGGAAAAAACGCTGGCATAAGTGTATTATATCTGGGGGGGACTACTTTGAAGGGGACCACATTAATGTAGACGAATAAATAAATATTTTTTTGAAAAAACGAAAATTCCGGGTACTTTTTGAACAGACCTCGTATATATATATATATATATATATATATATATATAAGAAATATAACATATATATATATATATATAAGAATATATAACATATATATATATATATATATATATATATATATATATATATATATATGTTTATACATTTTCTATAAACTATATGCTAATATCCTTTGTAGTGAAAATACACTGATATTAACTTAAAATTCTTACAGATGAAGCTGTTCCAGAATGCCCAGTACAAAATGACAATTTGGACAAAGAAGAAGGTGGTGATAGTGGTATTGACGCTAATAGTCAGGGATCCTGTTCAAGTAGTGATGTTAAATCAGCGGATAAAAACAAGAACAAGAAGAAAAAGAAAACTCCAGTCAATATATCCAAACCACTTAATCAACAAGATCCCCAAGATGATGAATCTAAAAGTACAAATAGTTTGAAGAAACTAGATGACAGTCTTCCTTCTTTAGAACAAACTTTAGATGGGTCTGTTAAAAATGAGAAAGAACCTTTAGAAACAGAGAAACTTGTGTCCCCTGTTGAACCAAAAACTCCAAAAGTAGGAACATATAAGAAAGATAAGAAAACAGATGTATCCCATTCTATCACTTCTACTACACCTACAAAAGTTACAAGTGCAAGAAAGTTTCTCATATTTGAATCATCTAGGCATCCTGCGGAAAGAGAAGATTTTGAAGCTACAGGTAATGAAAATTATGCTTTAACTAAAGGTAAAAAGCCTCATCACGAAAGTGAAGTTATGTGTGCTGTAACTAAGAATACAAGTCCGAAACAATCTATGAGAAGAGAAGAAGGATGGAAGGAAGTAACAAGAAAATCTTCTGTTCAAGTTCCATCTGCTGACACAAGTAGCAAAAAAGTAATTGTTCCCCTTCATGCTATTGCTCGTGTGATTGGGCGTGGTGGCAGTAATATCAATGCAATTCGTGGAGCAACAGGTGCTTTTATTGAAATAGAAAAGCAGAGTAAGGGTCAAGGTGACAGAAGTATCACAATCAAAGGCCCTGCTGATGCATTAAAGCAGGCATATTCCCTGATTCAAACATTAATTAAAGACTCCGATGTTGATATCATGAAGCTATTACCGCAAGTCCAGCAATCTAAGATTACACCACCCACCAATGCATGGGAGAAACCTCCATCACTGCAACCTAATAAACTCTCTATCAAAGTCACTAAACAGACATCTCCCGTGGTTGCTAAAACTATGCAATCACAAATGCCTGCTTGTAATAGGCCAAATAATACAAAGATAATTAGCTTTTCTCCATCAGCCACTAGGCCACCTTCTTCTAGATTATTGCCTTCAAGTGATAAAAAGTGCAATCCCACTATCATTTCAAGTTCAGATAGTACTGTTGAGCTTAAAACAAGTATGTCATATACATCAGCAATTTTAACTTCAAATAATAAATCAGGTGGGTTTACATTATGGTATAAATATGGTAAGGGTCTCCTATGACAAAAAATAATAATCAATCTAATTATATTTCACTTTTTTGGCTAGGTTCAAAGATAAGTGGAAGTTCCTTTGCTGAAAAATTATCTGAAATAACATCATCAATTACATCACCAAGTGCAGTATCTAGTATGAAAAAGACAACTTCACAAGCTGCTTCGGTTATAACTACAATTACTCCTGCATCTATTTCTCCAAAACATCATCGCTTACTGCACAGGCAAAATGTGACTTCTGCACATACTGCACATTGCAATTATCAAAATCCTCCAGGAAAAGCTACAATTTTGCAGCAAGCACCACCTTCCAATCAGAGTAACATTTCTGTTGAATCTACAACAGTTCAAAACCCTGCTGTTCCTATGTCGCAAATTGTTCAGGTATACTTTTTTTTAGTAAAATACTTTGCTAATTAGTCTTATTACATTTTAATTAAAAACTTAACACATTACTAGAAGAATAATACTAGGCTTGAACAAATATTCAGTTACTATTTGATATTTGGCATCTTTTTTGATAATGGGCTGCATAACAAATAGTGACTTACTATTCGGCTGAATACCAAATACTTAAAATCAAAGGAGCCGCCGCCGCCGCTTGGCAATGTGTTGTTTGCGTTTCAACTTTTATGCGATAAAGAGCAGTGGATCTGTATAATATTATCTGCAGTTTATATAATATGATATGAAGAAATGAATTCATTTAGGGTATATATAAAAATTTAAGGCTTATCGGCTTTTAAGATTATAAACAAACATGTGAGAAGAATACATTATTGTTACATGTTTGTTATTTAAGGGGGTATTCTACTGTAGAATTTTGAAAAAATCGAAAAAAATTTTTTTTTCATATTTTCAAAGGTTAGTTATTCAAAAATATGTCATTAAAAGGATTTTTAGTTTTAGTGACGTGGCCTTGGTTCGGGTCCGACTTGTCTCAAAACTTTGAACGCGTTTTTCTCGGAACTACTTTTTTCGAGCTGGCGATAAGGATATCTCGAGTTCTAATGAACCGATTTACTTCAAATTTGGAGAGGATCTTCTCTATACATCTCTTTATCGTATGGACCTTGCCCAAAACTATAACTTTTCATTTAGTATTTTTAAAAAATTCGGTATTGTTAAAAAAACATGAAAAAAAATAATTTTTTTTCCAAACTGCCGCCATTCAAACAAATTTTTTTTTTTAACATATCCAAGGTTCATACGATAGCGGCATCTATAATAATTAAGAATCCATCTATTTTTTATGTTTCAAATCACCAGGAGGGTTGGAATCATGCACGCCAGGACACCCTCTTTTTTTTTTTTGAGCCCCCACTTTGACTGCTCATAACTTTGTGAATTTTAGTTTTTTTTTTTCTAATAATTTTTTTGTGTAATAATAAAATATCAATAAACAAATGATAAAAAAATCGATAGTAAAAATATTATTTGTTTCCTTTATACAGCGCTTCAAAAACCAGGCGAAATTCATACCTCTACAGTAGAATACCCCCTTAATATGAATCATTCAATGGTAACACGGAAGTGTTGTATCGATATAAATTACAGTCATTCATTATATTCGATCTAGGTATTCGTAAATAAAGACCTAGCATAGGCTCTTTATTGCAAAAATAGTTTTTGATCTGTATTTATTTATTTTATTGATTAGCCTCCTAATCTATAAGTAATAATATTGTCTTTATAAAAGAAAATACTAAATGTTTATAAAAGAAATAATTGTAATAATATATATATATATATATATATATATATAGAATATATGTAATATATTCAAAATATATGTATGTACGTATATATGTAAACAATCGCTTTTTTCATAATTTTATCATTTATTACCTTACTACATATGTTACTTAAGTAGTCGGTATTTGGCCGAATATTCCAAATAAGAAAGAGTAAATGAATAGTTGCTACAAGCCTAGGCATAAAACTTGAATAAATATGTAGCGCATTAGTAATATAACAACTGTAAATAGTAATTAAATTAGGTGCTAAAAACCTGCCAAATAGTTGCAGAATATTTAGTATTCAGTCTCTGGAGCATGCCTAATATTCTGTATTTGGCAATTAGCCAAATTATAATTGTTGCAAGCCTAAATATTATAGTATTATTTTTGCTTCTTTCAGGGGCAGGTCCCCAGTGGTCGTGATAATAGAACTCCCACACCTACTTCATTAGGAACCCCATGTGTGCAGAAACCATTGCATAGATGTTCAAATAGTCAATCTTCTGGTAACCAGCCATCTCATAGTACAACATTAAGCCCTATGGAGTATACACTGTTTAAAGAAACACCTCAACAATCTATGTGGAATACAGAAACTAGCAACAAAGTCAACTTTTCAGTTGTGAATGGTTCATCAAGTTCACAAGCATCTGGAAATAAATATGAAAGCAACACTCCTCAGGTATTTATTTATTTATTTATTTATTTTACAAACCATCAGGTATTATAACAAGGCTCATATCAATATGTTACAATTATTATAATATAATGTAATGAATAATTGGTAATTTATATTACATTGCATTTTTCAGGTTGATATTTCTAAGGCTCCTGGTTATCGTGGAACTGCAGTCAGCTCACCAGTTGGTTCAAAAACGTCAAGTAATTCTACTACTCCACCTTGTCTACCAAATTTACCACAAAACGCACCTCAGGGATTTGGACAATTCTCTAATGACTTGCAGTCACGTAAGTATATACTTCATATATGTATATTAGGGTGGTCCTTAATATGGACATTTTCGAATTTGCTTGCTCCCAAGGGGTCAAATGGTTCCAAATTGATAAAAAAAAACAATTCTTTGAAAATTTTAGCTTTTAATATCAACTTTTAGATAATGCGCAATTCAATCAAACTTCGTATGGAAATAGCATAGAAAAAATTTTGAAAATTAAAAAAAATGTTTTAGGTATAACATTTGTTCGCTAAATTACATCTAAAAAACGTTTTTAAAATTTTTGAAAATTTTTCCATGCTATTTTCATAAAAAACTTTGATTGAATGCGCACTATCTAAAAGACAATATTAAGAGCTAAAACTTTCAGAGAACCGTTTATCAGTTTGGAACCATTTGAGTTCTTAAAAGCAAGGAAATTCGAAAATATCCATATTTAAGGACCACCCTAATGTATATATACATCTTAAGATGTTAAGTTTGAAAAGCCATAACAAAAAAGCCAATAATATTTTTACCATTTTTTTTGCAAGTTTAAATAGGCAAAAAGTTTCAATTCTAGAAGGTAATGAAGTGGTTAGGGGACTCAAAAAAAAATCGCTTAGGCGCAATTGTATTGTAGGGATTAATATAAGAAACTTTCAAAAAATCATCTCTTCACCCAGAGGTTCAAATTTTGAAAAATCCTGTTTTTGACCTATTTAGAGTGTCGTAGACCACATGTCATATACATATATAGTATGTGTAACAAATTAATAATTATTATATTAACTTTCCGAAGGAGAAGTTTATGTTCCATCAAAAATTTCGATACAAAAATGAAAAAATTTTCGGCCACGTTTCTACAACTTTTATTGATATCACAGATTCTTAAAATATAGTAAAGTTTGGATATATAATATCCAAAAATAAAAAAAATGAAATGATTTTAATTTGAATGTGAATGACAAGCAGGATATACGTACCGAAAATTACATAAAAGTATTTCATCTGGGTTTACCATAGCAAGAAATAACTGTACATTTAGTTCATATAATTTATCATGTATTATACACTAGAATATATTGAAATGATTAATAAATTTTGTAAACTAAATGTATAATTATTTTTTGCTATACATTTATGTGCATATAAGTATTATATACTGTTTGATTTGTCTTAAAATTCTAGTTTTTCTTCAATATTTTTCAACTTTGTATTTTAAACCATGCGGTTACTTGTATTGTATACATATCTTTCATAAATTTTTAATATTAAATTTGTTTCACATACAATTCTTTTAAATACATATTGTATGCATTGAAAATCACATATTTAATTTGAGGCGCTGATCAGTTTTTTTTTTTTCAGAAATTAAGTCACAAGTTATTCAGCCGATGACAGGTTTAGCTGTTGCAAGACCTACATCCAACAATATGAGTTTATCAGTTACAGTAGGTCCAAATGGCTCTGGTAATCCTGGTACTACACACTCATCTGCTCCACCTACACCTTTAGGATCTATGTTAGGTAAACTTGTAGTTCAATGTATATTTTATTAACTCTTATATCATAAGTTTGAATTTCCAAATTTATAATGTAAAGATAATAACCATTCAATTGCATTTAAATTGGAAGCAGAATTGCTGAAAAATAACAAATGTTTTATCCAAAACAAAATAAAAATGTTTCAAGCAAATTTGTGTTGATACCTAATGCATTTAATTTTAATATCAATTTGTAGGAGTTCAATCAATTCCAATCGGACAACCAATTGAATCATCAGGAATTGGTCATTCTTCTGTGCGATTGGATCAATTGAACATGCAAACTAATCGCCAATCTTTGTTTGCTGATCAACGACCAATGTCTACATCAAGAACGCATCAGCACCACAGCAGTGGTGGAATGGTATGTAAATCTAAAATATTTATAAAACCCAAACGTATGCTGATTGTTTAAAATTTATTAGGCCTCACCTGCATTTGATGATGCTTCTCATCTGTTATCATATCATCATACTTCTGGTGCCCAAAACCAACATTGTAATACCACTGTAACTATGTCAAGATTGAATCCTAGGGCTTCAGCTTTCTCTAGTACAAATTCTCATACACTCAAAGTAATTATTTTTTTTTTGAATTTATGTAATATGGTATTAATTATCAATAAATATTTATTAACAGCAATTGCAGTCGCAGCCTTTACCTACAGCACAAAGTCAAGCTAGTGCTTGTCAAAATCAGATGATGTTTAACAATACACCATTATATCACCAAAATCCCAATACTTTGCTGCCACAACATACTTCTTCAAGCCAAATACCTTACACGCAGAAGAGCTCTATGCAGCTTTATAATCAGGTAGTTACATATTTTTAGGAAATTGGTTGAGTACTTTTATGTTAATAGTCTAATATATTTTGATGGGGAATATATAGGAATTAAATTTCATGCTAATTGATGTTAAAATAATATAATATTGATAACATTAGATTTCTTTTTCTTTTTTTTTTTATACAGTAGATGGTTCTAATGAAACAAACAACTACAATAAATATTAATCAGTTTTTTCATAATTTATATGTATTACATTACAGGTACCAAGACCAAATTCATAATTTATATGTATTACATTACAGGTACCAAGACCAAATCCAACAGGCATGAATGGTGGTTTCACACCAAATCGTTGGCCGTTTATGAGTGTACCATATCCTGGTGACCTAGGAACATTAGGTACTAATCAAAGCAATGCTTCAGGATTTTGCCACCTTTCTTCTTTAACTAATATTGGCCATTCTCAAGATATTGTGGGCCTTGAAAATGGAGGACTTGTTACGATGAACATGCCTTCAATGTCTCCAATTAATCAATCTGCACTTAATGGTAATTTTATTTCTCATTCTTTTTTTTTATTTTAGCATGTCAAAACTAAATGTCAAAACTATTGTCTACATAGGTGTATGCACAGCTAATAGAATTTAAGGGATATAAATTCAGAATGAACTAATTCAGTTGGTTTTGAATTCATGACCTTTAAGGGGTTAGGGGTACTCAGAGGAACAAAAAGAGAATTTTCAGTAATTTTTTTTTTTGTTATTAAATCAAAATTTTTTACAAAAATAAAAATATGGCATTATTAAACAATGTTTTGAATTTAAGTAACAAAAATTCAACAAAAAATATATAAATATTACCAAAGTTGTAGGTGTTTTTGTTGACCATGTTAAGAAACAAGGTCCATGCGGTGACAATCATAAGTCCTTGGGGATTCATCTAAAATCAATCAAATAAAAAAAAAAAAGTTTTGAAAATAGATAATCCTTGCTCTGATTGTTTTTTTTTTCAAAAATTAAGAAAATGGCGGCGTCAGAAAGTTTTTTATTAGATTTTTTGGAAAAATTCAACAGTTAATCGGTTTTAAAAAAATCGAAATTTTTGAAAAATAGAAAATCCTTTGATCAGGACTGAGTCTATTATGCATTGTAAAAGCTGTATAAATTTCATTAAAAACTTTTGAGCAGTTTTTGAGTTACAGTAGTCACCAGTTCAAAAAACATACTTTTGAGAAAAACGCATTTAAAGTTTCACATTAGATTTCTGTACAGAAACACGAATTATTAAATTACTTAAACCGAGTTATCTATTACTGGGCCATATAATAGTTCTTCAGTCATTGGGGATGTTTCTAAAATGTTCATTTGCTTTTGCCTGCAAAGCATTCTGCCTTCCCGAGAGCTCTCTGGGACGCACTGATCTGCCACTTGTACACATGCAGCATTCAATTTTTCAGCATAGAGAATATGAATCAGACCCACAATTAGGTTCTAGGGTTTATTATTAATGATTATGTATATGTATGCAGCAATTTCTACTATAGTAAAACTAGTATTCACTGTTTTGGGCATATTTTCCCCACTAGGTGGTTGAAGCTCTTGACTCTCATACACCCTGATTGAATCTACCTACACATCTTGAAAGTAAATTATAATTGCTAAGATCGTCGTAAATCACTTTAGTAGCTTCTAAAACATCAGGATGTAAGGGAGAATAATTTTGAGTATAAGTATCGAACTCTCCACTTGCTTTTTGCGCTGGTAAGAGTCAAATAACTTAAAAAAATAATCATCGGATCAACTTGAAATTTTCAGAGAATATTTTCACGATATTGCACTTAAGAAAATTGCAAAAAAAAAAACAAAAATTGATTTTTTACAAATTCTGAGTTACCACTAAGCCCTTAAAGCTTTCATTATCTAATGTTTGAGCAAAAAAACTTCAATATATTGTTATATATAGTTGTTATATTTAATATGAGCAATAACAAAGAATATGTGTTTAAGGTTATAATTTATATAAAATTTTGTCAAATCTAAACAAATGTTGACATACTTCTCTTTATGTACTTGGTATAGGTTTGAGCTTAGATTTCGGCTGTAGATGAAAATTATTTTATGTTGTGGTATTGCAGGGGCAACTATGGAAGACCGTAAGATACCTAGGCCTATTGGTACTGAAAGAGCTTGGAAATTTTCCAACCACAGCAATGCAGCTTGTAATGAAGCTACAGACCCCCAAAGTTGGATTATGAGTCATCATGAACAATCTAAGCAGAGTGGCTGGCCAACCTCTCAACTCGTCAATACTCCCAGTTCATTTATTAGGAAGCAGTACGAAGATATGTCTTCACACGACCGATATCAAGTAATATTTTGCAACTCAAATTATTATTATTATTTTTTTTTGAAATGAAAGACTATTCTTTTGAAAAAAATATTTAATTATTGTTAATCATTATAAGTACTAAAAAAATTATACTTTATTCACATAATGTAATTATTCATAATTAACCCCTTAACTAGTGATTTAGATTTGAAAATGTTGATCCAAAGTTGTACAAGCAGGTGCAGTGTTTGTGACTATTTTCCCACACAATGTACAGTTTATCACAAAAATAAAAATAATTTAGTTTTATAGCCTTATATAAATAAATATTTGTAATACTTGCTTTCACCATACCGGGCCATGCCTGTAATGCGTAATATTTGCTTCTGGGGCCCAAGTATTGTTTGCGGGCTTTGCCCGTAATATTTACGTTAGGCCTAGCTGTCGTACGCGGGCTATGCTTCTCATTGTAAGTTACGGGGTTAAGCTTCGGCTTAAATTAGCTGATCATCATGTGATATATGTTATGTTTATGGTAATTAAAATTACAGCCACAACAACAGCCTTTATTGGCACACCAAATGCAGAGTGAGCCAAGTCAAGCACAGTACATCAACCCACTGATGCATTCACTGCCACCCATTGTGCCATCTTTCCTTCCTGGTTCTTCTGATGCTACGTGCTCATTAGATAATGCTTGTGGTGATTCCTGGGACCCTGAGAAACAGGTTAAAATATAATTCTTTTATTATTTTTTTAATGTTCAAATAGTAACTTCTATTTTACTTATTAGAGTTGGGGACCTAAATGGAATCATTAGATAATACCAAAAGTTGAATCACAACATCATTTGGATGATGGATAGAATCATGCAATATAAAATATTGTATTAATTGTTATTGACAAACTGTGCAGGTTTACCTTGTGATGAAATTTAATGAAATCTTTTGTTATATTATTAATCTATGTTTTATAGTTACATCATTAAAGTGATCTGCGTTATTATTTGTCTTTTTTTCTTTGAATTAGCACTATGTGGTTGATCTTCAGGTATTTCAACAAGAATTTTTTTTTTCATAAATTACAAAATAGTTTTTTTAACATCGTTTTTCAAAAATTCCAATATCTTCAAAAAATGTTTTAGGATTCAAAATAAAAAAAAATTGAATTTTCATTACAAACAGTTTTAACTTTCCAATCTGAGAAAATTTGGGAAAAAAAGCTTTGGAAAAAATCATGGACGGACAACAATAAAAACAATCAACAGTCCCAATTTTCATTTTTTTTTTTTTTTGAAATTCTCTCGATCCAAAAAGTTTCGTATTTTTTTCTTCCTATTTTTAACAATCAGATTACAATACAATACAATACAATACAAGTTAAAAGTTATGGCCTTGAAAATCAAAATCAAAAAGAGAAAAAAATAGAATAATAGGAATTAAAGAAAAGAAATAGAATATATAATAATTGAAATAATAGTATTAATAATAAAAACAATAATCAATAATAAATAATAATTAAAAATAACTTGTTTGAAAATTTTCCTGTGCAAAACAGAGAAAATAATGTTGTTGACGGTAGATCACTGGGCCATTTTTTTTTCAAGCGTTTTAATTTTTCGGCTGTCTGTACTATTTGCATTTCTGGATTAATGTGTGCATCCAATTTGTTTTGAAAGATTAAACTTCTGTTTCTGATAACCTCCGCTACTGTAGGAATCTCTTTATGGATCATGTGGTTGATCCTAAACCACGGAGCCTTGCAGATCATTCTCAGAATTTTGTTTTGGACCATCTGGATTATTTGATCGTTTCGTAATATAAATTAAAAAAAAAAAAACGTAAAATTTTGTGTCACCGCTGTCAGTTTTGTGTGTTGTGTGTGTTGCATGTTGCATGGTGCGAGTGAGAAGCGATCGCGTTCGTCGACTTTGGTCGACCGGGTCTCCAGTCGACTAGTGATCGCGACAGATTTCAAATCCTTCGTCGATCTCAGAGTTGGATTAATTTTTGACATAAAATATTGAAGGAAAAATGTTGGTTTATTTGAAAAGTTTGAACCGGCTTGCGAAACTTTTGAACCCTTTTGAAATGAGTGAAACATGTGGAGTTTTGTCATGTTTTGAAATAATCTCGTTTCACCACTTATAAAAGGTAATTCATATTGTTGTACATTATATATATATATATATATATATATATATATATATATGTTGTTATTATATATAGAATATATAGACTTGTTTAAACTGCACCTTATTGTTGAAAGTTTACTACATATTCGACAGATGTCGCGTCCATAATTCATTCATATGCATTTTTCCATAGCACATTCTTTTAAATACAAAGAATGCATGTGCCTTTGCGGGTATTAAAACTTCGGTCACCAAATTTTTTTTCCAAAAAAATTTTTTTGACCAAAAATTTTTTTCGCAAAATTTTTTGGACCAAAAATTATTTGCACCGTACCTAATCATTTATTTCAAATAGTGATACAATAATACTAATTAATATTGTATCACTATAATTTTTACATCAAAATGTAACAATTATATATTAATTAATATATAACTGTTACATTTTGATTAAAAAAAACGTATGGGTAAATTTTACTGAACTTATGAAACAAGTACCTTTTTTCTTTAAGTTTCATGTGCTAGCTACCCTGACATTTTCAACCAGATCCTTTTAA